AAAACGAAAGCCTGTAATTGTTTTACATGATGGTAGGGGTTGCTGGTGTCCCTTTTTTTTGTCTCATGAACATGCAAATTTCAGGTACGTTTGCTACTTCTATTACACTTAGGTCACCTACAATACTGTACAAGACAATATAACACCCCCTGGGTTTTCTTTTATTTTCTTTCTGTTCTTATTCTTGTTTTTTTTCTCTTATTCCATGGGGAAATGGAAAAGATTTTCCCCGTAAGCCAGGGGTGTTTAAGAGGCGACTAAAAAGCCGGGAGCAAGGGGCTAGTAAAACCCCTTCTCCCGTATTTATTTCAAAGTAAAAGGAGAAACTTTCGTTTTTCCTTTTGGGGCCCCCTGCCTCGGTGGGATACGGCCGGTGTGTTGAAAGAAAGAAAATAATATTTAAAGTATAATATAACGTATATTATATATTTTATATAATTAAAACATCTTCTTTCTTTTACACACCCGGCCCTATCCCCCGAGGCGGGGTGGCCAAAAGAAAAAACAAAAGTTCTCCTTTCAAATTTTTGGTAAACAAAAAAGGGGAAGAAGGGGTTTTTAGAACCCTTTTCTCCGGTTTATTTTACAAAAGGGAAAAGGAAAAAAATTCTTTTTTCCCTTTTCCCCCTGGGTGGAAAAAAACCCTTTTTAAAAGAAAAGAAAGAAAAAAAGAAAAAACCCCAATATTATAACTAACTTTACAGTTTTTTTAACCCCGGGTAAGGAGGGGGGAAAAAAAAAACCAAATTTTTTAAATTTTTAAAAACGGGAAAAAGGACACCCCTTCCTCCTCATTTAAAAAATTTAAAACCGGGCGGGCCTACAGGGGGTTCTGGCCCCCTTTCCCCTTGGAGGTTGGGTTAAACCCCAAAAACCCCAAAATTAAAAAAAAATAAAAAAAAGGGGGTTTTAAAATATAAATTTTTTTAAAAATTTATTATATTTAATAAAAAAGATACCAAAATTTTTCATTTAAAAAAAAAAACAAAAATTCCCCCATATTTAAAAATTACATTTCTTTAACCACCAGGGGTTCCCCCGGGGGTTTGGGCCCAAAAAAAAACCCCCAAATTTTCCTTTTACATTTATATTATATAAAAATTTATATTTTGGTTTTTAAAAATTATAAAGGATTTAACAAAAAATTCCTTTTAAAATCCCCTTTAAATTTAAAGGGGAAATTTTTTAAACAAGAACCCCAAAACAGGTAAAAGGGAAACCCCCGGGGGGTTTTCCCTTTTAAAATAATCGGGAAATTATGTTAGTTTGCCCCCCCTTTTAAAAAGTTTTAATGGAGAAAGAATCCCTGTTTCCCCCCCATGGGGAAAGGGGAAATAAAAAAAAAAAACCCCAGAAAAAAATGGAAAAAACAAATACGGTCAGTTTTTAACCAATTGAAGAGAAGTACCTCCCCGGGTTTGGTTGCGGGCAAAACCAAAAAACCCCAAACCTAATGGGAAAAAATTTAACATTCGTTTTCCCATATAAAATTTTCCCTATATTTCTTTAAAAAAACACCTTAAAAAAATTTTAAATTTTATACATATATATATACATATATAATCCATAATATATACAATATATTTTACTATATAAAAATTTTAAAAACTTTAATATAAAAATAAAATTTAATATATATATATATATATATATATATATATAATATATAAAATTTTATATAATATTTTAAAAATTTTTATATTACAGTGGACCCCCCCCTTAACGATTACCTCCGAATGCGCCCAATTATGTAAGGGGGTATTTATTTAAGTGCTTTTTTTACTGAAATTTTTTGGGGGGTCTGAAAGGAATAATCTACTTCACAATATTCTTAGGGGAAAAAAATTCGGCCCGAAACGGGCCCTAAAAAACATACTTTTTGATTGAAAAAATATCTTTTTAACCGGGGGGCCCAACTGTATATTTATATATATAAAAATAATATATATATAAAATAATAATCTAAATATATATATAATAAAATATATAATATATATTTTATATATATATATATAAATTATATTATATGCCCCGTGCCGAATAGGCGAACGGGCGATCTTGGCCCCATTTTGGAAATATAGGACAAGTGAAAATCTTGTAGGGCAATAATTTCCCCAAAAAACTTTTCAAACCTAACAAAAAAAATTATCTCACTGTGTTTGTTTAAAAAAAATTTCTGTAAACAATTCTAAAATGTATTTGGGTTGGGGTTTTGGGCTAAAATAAATTCCCTTTTGTTATAATAAGGAAATTTTTAAGTTTTCAAAGGGTTCTTTTGGGTGCAAAATTAAAAATTTTTTTTACATAAACTTATGAAAAAAATAAAATTTTTTAAACCCTAAAAAAAAAAATTTTAGAAAGGATTTAAATTTTAAATGAGTTTTGCAAATTACCATTTTTACAATATTGGGCACGGGGGTGTGTTGAAAGAAGAAAAATTATATAAAATTTTTTTTTTCTCTCAACAAGTGGGGCCGCTCCCACCGAGGCAGGGTAACCC